TGGTTGGGTGGCTGTGAGCAACTTGAGTACTGGCGGCTTGACTCGACTGAGACAGATGGAGCCCGGGCTTGATTTACAATCTCTGCGGTCTGGGCCATAGCGGCCGTCAGATAGGCTTGTATTTCATCGTGAACTGCCTGAGTTTCTGGGGTATTGGGTAGCCGTTGCATTGTTGCCATAGCAACGGCTATGTTGGCGCTTGGAGTCCTGAAGACCTGTTTGTCCCCCACCCTATCGAAGGCATTGTTGAGGTCGCATGGCTGGACCCTTATGCGTTGTGCCTCCTCTTCTGCTTCGGCATCGATTTGTCGGTGATTAAACCGATCAATATTGCGTGCTTCGCGTGCAGTCCTTTCCTGTTCGGTTTCGCCAACTGCTGGTGGTTCGTCATTGCTGACAACGTTGATCAAATCCCCTCGTCTTGGTGGGAAAGACGGGAATTGTGGGAATCCCGGGGCGTGGTCTGGGATATCCAGATCGTATTTGACGCCTTCATCATCGTGATGCTGGAGCTCAGTGTGGTCGGAGGCATTAGATGCGATGCTAGACGAGGAGCTGGAGTCACCCTCTTGGACTGTGTGGACGGATCCTTCTTGATAATCCTCAATTCTGATCATGTTGATGAAGTTGCGTTGTACATTATACTCGTAGTTGGAGGCAGCGTTTCGCAGGCCATAGGGTTGGGCCTGGTAGTTCTCCGTCGAGGCTTCGTACTCGGAGAGCCGGAGACCCGTCGCGGAGGCTGGCCGGCGACGAGCGGAGCGCCCTTCAGGAGTAGATATGACCACGAGATCTGTACCAAGTCATGCAGGACGACTGGCCCGAGCTGGTCAGGTAGATCTATTGTGGGAAGCGGTTACCTGCTCATTAGGTCCATGTTGAATTGAACTTACCAGAGCTAGGGTTTCAGCAAGTTTGGTGCCGACCCGATCGATGGAGTCAAGCAGGTCAGTGTTGTCGATCTGCCTCCCCTTGTAGCGGGGAAGCGGACGATGGGTTGCCGGCGTGGCTGAAAGCGATGCGAGCGTGGTCAGAGCCAGATCCACCGTGGTCGAAGCCAAATCCACCGTGGTCGGAGCCAGATCTACCGTGGTCGGAGCCGTATCCACCGTGGTCGGAGCCAGATCCACCATGGTCGGAGCCAGATCTTCCGTGGTCGGAGCCAGATCTTCCATGGTCGGAGCCGTATCCATCGTGGTCGGAGCCGTAGCCGATGCAGGTGAAGCAGCGGTCGACGCAGATTGAATCCGCACCTCCTCCGTGATCGTGGCGACGAGGTCGTCGGAGCCGGTGGTCTAGGTGATCTAACCGATGGTGAATGTGAGGCCGTTCGGTGTAGCCATGAAGCCGGGGATGATGACCATCTTGTTCGCTTGGAGAGCAGTACGCACATCCCCTACCTGGCGTGCCACTGTCGATGAAATATGGTCGGCAGTCTACCCAGGGGTATGCCCAAGGTAGTAGATTGTCGACAGACAGATGCGCAAGCTCCGAACAAGATGGTGACGCAAGACAAATACGAGGTTTTATCCATGTTCGGCCGTCAAGAAGGCGTAATACCTACGTCATGCGTCTGATTGTATTGCTGTATGTCAATGAGAGGTGTTTTTTAGAGGGGTCCCCTGCCCGCCTTATATAGTTCGGGGGGCAGGGTTACAGATCTGGAAACTAATCCTAGCCAGTTACAATTGCCATAGGTGGCCGGATAAGGATTCCTATTCTAACCGACCAGGATCTTGCTTGATCGCCAAATCCGTCTTGACTCCTTGTGCGGAACTCCGAACAGGTTGGCCGGGCCACGCGTCGTCTTTAGGTGGACCGGACCCTCTGATCTGGGCCGGCCCAAGCCTAGCCATAAGGGTATAGGGGTTAATACCCCCACAATGAATATAATTGGATTAGATGCACGTAGTTCAAATTGAAATTAGTTTCAAAAATCACACTTGGCCTTACTAATAGTTCTGTTTCATACTAAGAAAAGAACGAGTCTTTAATTCATATGTCCAGGAAATTTCGCCTCTTTGTTCCTGGGAATGACCTTACTAATAGTTATGTTTGATGTTGTAGATGGTAATCCTCACACTTGGCCTCCACATTTATCCTTGTATGTGTAACTGCTGCTTTTTACTTGTGTTGCTTGCTCGGCCTCGAACTCGAAATAATGGCAGAACTTCTAGCATGATAGTATCCTAAGTTTGTTTCCTTTGCACCCTGAAGCATGAGTTTTTTTGTGATATGGTCACATACTCAAAGATATGCCATTTGTTTTTATAAAAATATGTAGGGGTGCTGTGGCCAAGTGGCAATGTAAATGCTAGTTGTCAGTTGTTTATCTAATTTGTAGTTGCTCACTATTACAAAATTTTGTACTGTGAACAAATATAATGTCAAAGCCGCTACCCACAAAGACTCATGAATCAAACATTGAAACTGTTTGTATAGTACTCGATGATATGAGAAATCCTTTGGTAATGTGTGTCCAAGCTTATCCACTGTTGAGAGCGTGTAGACTGTATCCTTTTAGGAGAGAGCGCACCCCCTTTTATAGATTAAGGGGATGGCCTTACAAGTCAAAGACGGAAAGGGAGAGAGTGTGTATGGGTGCTACCTACTTGTCACCCACGTCGTCGGGTCTGGCATGCCATTGCCCTCCATCTTGTTTATGCCTCCATCGCCCACCTTATTGTTCATGATCTGTTGTACTGGCAGTCGCACAAGTGTTAGCTTTGGGGGCAAACGACGCCAGCGCCCACAATCTCTTTTTTGTGCTCACGCGCGCTCGACAGTCAGTATAGTGTCCGTCTGACATGGCCTGACGGCATCGTCCTGCATGTGCGCAGGGCATGGCAGGGTATGGTCCTCGGTATTGCAGTTGACTTGAGCGTCTTACCTTATCTGCTCCGCCTGCTCCCCGGGCCCACACCGAGTAGGCGTCCTGGTCGGTCGTTCCCAGTCGACCCCGACCGTGTCAGTTGGGAAAGAGAGGAGAGAAAAGGTCCGGCATATCATCGGTTGGAGGAACGAGGTCGGAGTCGGACTACGGTGCCACCACGGCCAAGCCTTTCGGTCGGGGCTCCGACCAGGTCTCCAGGCCGGAGGTGCCGGTCGGCGACCGGATCGTGGTCTCGGTCTATCATTGTGTATCTGGGTCGGCCCAGACGCTCGCTGTCGCTGCGCCGCCTGCTGAGCCAAGTATTGCAGGAAAGCGGATCCATTGGGGACTCCGGGTTTATGAACCCGACAAGAGTTGTGATGACTTTTTTGCCCTTGCCTTCATCTTCATCCTCCCGGTGATGTGGAGTCGTGGGCGCATCCCTCTCTCAATCCTCTCGTCTCTCCGAAGCACGGACGCATCTTGTCTCGTCGCAGCAGCACAAGACCCTGTCTATGTCATGCCATTGCTCTCATACTCCCTTCGTCAACACCTACAACCCCCCCTTTGCCAAAGCTAAGGTCACAGACGCTGCTTCGCCGCCAGTTCCCCATGCCCATGGGCGGATCCAAGCAATGGGGGGGGGGGGGGCTCAAGCCCCCTACCCATACCGGCGCAAAGGTAAATTCTTGTAGAGCCCCTATGAATTTTTAGGCAAAGTTCTATAGTGTAGGGGGCTGAGACTTAAGATCGAGCAGCAGTGTTGTTCAGCCGCCCCTAAAATATTTCCTGGATCAGCCGCTGCCTGTGCCCTTGTCCTCATTGTACTCTCCTTCACCGCCATCACCGTGATCGATCACGATTGCATCATGGTCGTCAGCTCGAGCTCGACAAAGGCCGAGCTCCTCCAAGACTCATCGCCACGCCACCACCGCCGTCCGCAAAAGGGGGTCACATGCTATTCCATGCTTTGGTCCCTACCCGCAGCAGCGTGCTTTCATCATGCTCAAGAACCTCGTCCATGACCTATTCACCACGTCGTGTGTCCCTCGAGTTCCGTGGCCCCCCGCTTACTTGGCGACATATGATCCTTTTCCACTACCGGTTCCATGGACCCCGATCGAGACAACACCAAAACCACCGGCATGGTACAATCTCGGAGGGCATGCAATGGCTTCGTTTCCGCATCCGAATTGTTGGATTAAGTGGTCCAAGCTTGCAAGCATTCTCGCCAAAGACCTATCGTAGTCCCGGAAGTCTTTGTGTTCCTCTACTCAAATGATGTGTTCTGGTATTCCAACCCGCCCGCCTCTAAGTCCACTAGCACAACCTCACCATCTGGGCAAGGTTGTCGTGTGTGGATCTGCTACTTTGCCACTCGTTCATCCTGCTCCTCGTGATTTACATGGGCGGTATCAAGCTGCTGTCCGGACAGCTCGTGGCAGCACTGGGTCACTCAACCTCCCGACCTACGACATTGAGCTGACCCTGTTCCTTGTGCTCTTGATTGGCGGCAAGAAGGTGGAGGTTTGGGTGGACGAGAGAGGGATGTGTCCACGCCACGAGGAAGAAGATGAAGGCAAGGGCAAAAAGTCGATTAACACTTCATTTCCCACAATCACATAAATGATTATTATAATCATTGCAATGTGTGCTTCAAAGAAAGATCCACACTTTCATAATGCCATAATAGCACCTAGCATATTTCAGCGCTTGCGGTGTGAAATGGCCAATACGGCATATGTTTGATGTCCTTTGGCAAAATTTGCCATATAAAAATCTCAAAAGGAAATCTGTGCGCATCATGGTTGTTTTGCTCATTAATACAATATTTTTGGCACTTTTCTTTGTCATTCTGCTAAATTTGTTACTGATTGTGTGTCTTCTCTTGCTCTACAGTGGGAAGACCATAGAACTTGATGATGTAACATTCCACTAGTGTGTCAACTTAACAAGATTTAACTCAGAAAAGACAGTCAGTTTCGTGCCACCAGATGGTGAATTTGAATTGATGAATAAACCTTCTGATTCCTCTTTTATGCTTGTAGTTTTGTCCCCACTAATGACTTACTCATTATTAATTTCACTATTGCTGGCTTTTCAATTTTGATAGATAAATTTGTTGCAGGTATCGAATCACAGAGGGTGTAAACCTCCCATTCCGTGTTCTACCGACAATCAAGGAATTGGGCCGAACACGCATGGAGATCAATGTGAAAGTAAGCATATGTACATGAGTGGGTACCTGGGGTCACAATCGATTTTCGCTAACATGAACCTCGTTTTTTTTAACATAGGTCAAGAGTGTTTTCGGTGCTAAGATGTTTGCACTTGGTGTCGTTGTTAAAGTCCCAGTTCCAAAGTAGACAGCTAAGACTAGTTTCCAAACAACGTCAGGCAAAGCAAAATACAATGCTTCGATTGATTCACTGGTGTGGAAGTATGTGTTACCATTGTCTATTGTACATTGGGAGTTACTTTTACCCTTTTAAGAACTTTTTCGGTTTTTCCACTCACACATTGCAAGTAGTAAAGCTACTTTAGCTGATACACACTTAAACTACAGGATCAGGAAATTCCCTGGACAGACTGAGGCAACTATGAGCGCAGAGGTGGAGTTGATCTCTACCATGGGTGAAAAGAAGTCATGGAACAGACCACCTATCCAGATGGAATTCCAGGTAATACTCTTAACCCCAATGGAAGGGGAAACACGCTTGTTTTCTTTGTGCTTCATTTTGTCTATTGCAATTTGGAACTGGATATGGATAGTAGCAGAGAGCTTGAATATACATTCTTTGTTTATGAACTGTGCTTGGTCCTACAAGAAATTGAGTTTTGTAGTTTTTGTCATCGGAATATTGTTTCGAGGCATTGCCTTCTATTGTCATGTATAATATCTGCTCATGCTTTGTCATTGTGATAGAATATTGATAATGCTGTTATGCTTTGTTTTACTGTTCTCTGAGCATTACCCTCCGTGCTCTATCTGATGTAGTGATGTGTTTCTTGATCCTGTAGGTTCCAATGTTCACTGCTTCTGGTTTACGTGTTTGGTTCCTTAAGGTATGTGCACCAAGTGTTGGTTTGAAACCTTTTAGCATCTGAGATGGAAAATCTCATAGTGTGATACATTTTCCAGGTCTGGGAGAAGAGTGGTTACAACACTGTTGAGTGGGTTCGCTACATCACGAGAGCTGGTTCATATGAGATCAGGTGTTAGCAACAAATTCATACAAGATTAAGGTATTAGTGACAACCGATATTCGTCGGTCTCCTTTGAGCAGCTATCCACAGAGATCACCCTGTGTGGCATCATGCATGATCATAAAGCGAGTATATTGTGACACAAATATCAGAAACTTTGTACTTCAACAGAGGGTGGGGCAGGGCAGACCAGACAATTTTCTTTGTGTTTCTTATTTCCATTGTAGTCTGGGATCTCTGTTCTTCCCTCCAAGCCCTGTTTGTAGTAGGGAGTATTTTTTTGCCTGTATATTGGGCTGTAGCTTTCCTTGTTTGTTGATCAATACACCCGTTCGGTTTGTATTGTTTTCTCCTTCAAATGGATCAATGGATTCACTTGCATAACAGTGTACAAACATTCGCTGCCAAAGATCTGGTACATTGTAGTGTTTGACAATTGTAGTGTCTGATGTGAAGGTACATTGTGCCCTTAAATATTGCTGTATAGAAAGTTTATGTGATTGTGATGATTACCGGCTTTGGCGCTTATGAGTTGAGCACTACCTCGGCAAGATGTTAATGTGAATTTAAGTTGGACTGCAAATATTTTGCCTGGCTGAGCGGAAAGAGACAGCCACAGAGGACTCTGGCCGTCTAATGAAAAGCAGCCGGCGGGGTCGGATGGGTATTCCATTCGCCTCATCCTTCCACAGTTTTCCGCAGTTCCGCAGACCTACCCAGGACAGGCACGCGACGCACTCCCTCGGGATCAAATCACATTTGTCTGTTTTGTAATGATTTTTTAGATATCCTCGTCAAAAGATTTACCATAGAGCCTTTGTCAAAAGTATTTATTTACCTACCTAAGTCAGTTTCGTTGGGGTGTCCGAGTTTCATAAGCATAAAAAAAGTAAGTTACTAAGTTTCATAAGCACTAAATAAGCTATTAACTAAACAAATACGCTAACATTGTATAATACTTCATTTGTTCCAAAATGTAAGTTATTTCTAGATTTTCTAGATACTTAGTTTTTTATCATGCACCTAGATATCAATTATGTCTAGATACAGAGTAAAAGTTATGCATCTAGAAAGATAAGAACAACTTACAATTTGGACTAGAGGGAGTATCGATGAAGAGAGAGGATTAAAGTTTCATGCGAGTAAAGTGAGTTTCATGTGGATGAAACTTATTCACACTGGAGTGGGTAGTGAGTTACCGCGTCGGGAGAAGGCTAGGTGTTGGATGTTGCGGCTGAGTTCGGGGCACGGCGGGAAGGAGCCCGGAGCTCAAGGGCGTGGTGGGAAGGCTAGGGGTACCGTGACGGAGTGGGAAGAGAAGGGAAGGCATCTGCAGGAGCGAGAAAAACAGCCAATCACCTGATAGGGAGCCATGGTTAACGCACACGGAGCGAGGGCTGAAAGGTAGATTCTAGGGCCTCCCTAATTTGAGGATTTGAATAAAGGCCCTGTTTGACCTATGTTTTTTTTGGCCGTGCCCTCAAATTTTAGTTTAGGGACTTGTTTTGGGGTTTTATTATAGTTGCTTTAAGTGTTTTTAGGCATTCGATTTCGACGTCGACGTAAAGATCAACACTGAAGCACACTCGAATAGTTCCTCGAACTTTTTATATATATAGTATTAGGTTTATCCGAAGTCAAATATTTTTTATGTTTGATCATCAATTTCAAAATATCTATGTAATTTCACAACATGTGAATTACATATTACGAAAATATTTCTTATAATGAATTTAAAATATAAATCTTATATGTTAATAATTTATATAAAATTTTTAAAATTAATGGTTAATAAACATAGAAATATTTAGCTTAGGCGGAAAAGAACATAGCACGCATCCCCGTGCCTACCATACCGTCGTTGACATGCAGTCACGCCACGCACACGGCACACACTCCGCGAAACTGAAAGCACTTTTTTCTAGATTTTTTTCAGAAATTTTAGGATACATGTACACGTGCGCGTTCGATGATAGTGCACGTTTTCCATGTACGGAAGACGACGTGCCTCCCAATGTAGTGTGTATAGACGCACACGCATATACGCGCGTGAAGTGTGAGTGTACCCGATAAAAAAAAAACTGAAAGGCCCCCTCCTCGTAGTATACTCGTTGGAAGTACTATATCTTGCTTCCAAGTAACCAAGTCCCAACTCGAGCAGATTCACTTCGCCACTCCGTTGCCGCCGCCGTCCGATCCTTTCCCCGTCTGAGATGGCATCCCCGGCACCGGCGTCGCTTAAGGACGCCGTGGGCAGCCTCGACCGCGATGGCTTCGTCGGCCTCCTCTCCAAGCTCATCGGCGAGACCGCGCACCTGCAGAACGACCCGCCGACCCACAGGCCTCAGGAGGAGCGCGTGGCGCAGCACGTCGTCGACGTGCTCCGCCCGGTGTCCGCGGACACCGGCGGCGGCCCGCTCCTCGTGCGGAAGATCAGCTACGCCGAGGGCAGGAGCAACGTCATCGTCGAGTACCCCGGCACCGTCCCCGGCCGCGTTGTCTCCTTCGTCGGCATGCACATGGACGTCGTCCCTGCCAACGCCAGCGAGTGGGTAGGTCCGCCTGAATTTTCTGCTAATCGCGGCTAAATTTTGTTTGGCTATCGCCGTCCTATATCCACCTTTATCGATTTTGTGATCTTTGGGGATTTCGCTTATCATCAGTTCGTCACTCGTGTCCGGGTGCTAAATTTCAGCATATTGTTGAATGTGATTGTATCTACTGATGTAAAATATGCACAATTGTAATGACTCGTGGTCTTTTGATTTTAATTGAAAGGCCGGGGCGTATGCCCTTAAACTCTAAAAAAAATTTGCACAATTTTCCAGCGTTGTAATCATTAGTGGAGTGTTTCGGTAATAATGGGAGTTATTGTAAAAGTTTTTATTTATGGAGTTTCTTCACACTGGCATGCTTTGCTTCATCGTTTTGTTTCCGTAGAATGAGTCAAAGTGTTTCAGTACAGTGGTAGGTTGTAACTAATCAGTTGCACCCTGGCTGGTACTGAATTTTGCATATATTGGTAGATTTGATTGGCTCTGTTGGTGTAAAAATCTTTACGTTTTCAGTTTTTCAAGGGCGTGGATTTTTTTTTTGGTTGTAACTTTTTGTAGAGTGTTAAATTTGTTTTGTTTTCTGATTCATATATGTTTCCTGTAAAAATCTTCGTCGTTTTAGTCTTTGTTATTTTCGTAGTCATGTTTTTTCACCAATGATGTACTTCGTACTTGATTTTATAACCACTCAAGCCCCTTCATAGTTGATATTCTAATCAGTGTTCTTTGCTTATCCACGTTTCTGCAGGACTTTGATCCTTTCTCACTAACCTTTGATAGCGAGGATAAGGACAAGCTTCGCGGACGTGGGACAACTGACTGTCTTGGACATGTTGCACTGGTGGCTCAGCTAATGCGGCGCGGCTTGGTGAGGTCAAGCCACCCTTGAAGCATTCTGTCATCGCTGTGTTTATTGCCAATGAGGAGAACTCATCTGTCACTGGCATTGGTGTTGATGGCCTCGTGAAGGATGGATTGCTTGACAAGCTCAAGACAGGACCCCTGTAAGCATTGCGCCTTAAAACCCTATGTGTTGTTTGTGGGGATTATGTGTTGCTTTTAATTGGCTGTTGTTTGTGCTGTGAAGGTTTTGGATAGATACAGCTGATAAGCAGCCGTGCATTGGCACCGGTGGAATGATTCCATGGCATCTCAAGGCAACAGGGAAGCTGTTCCACAGTGGCCTTGCGCATAAGGTATTTGACTCAAACTTGTCAGGCTGCTTCAGTTCTGTTATGTGTTCTATACTTTTGTGGCCTTTGCTGAATTGGTCATCTCCCAGGAGTTGCTCAGCTATATTTGAAAATACACTTGTAGCAGTTGTACAATTCTATCTGTTACACATATCTATATCTGATTGTTAATCTGCACTATTCTAATCTAACCGAGATGAAGATTTTAAATCTTGGCCTCAAAATAGAGGTGCCTTTATGTCACCCATTATTTATATTTATTGTTTGAATACAAATTAGGCTGCACCCTTTTCATCCTTACCTAAGAACTTTCTTTGGAAGGATTCCCAGCACATTTTCGTTTTCTCTAGGCAGCTGCAAAATATCTATCATCAGCTTTATTATTTAATCATAATTTTTTGGAGACAGCCCCATCATTGCTTTTGAAGCGTGTACCTTATTTTTATGTATGTATCTTTCCCTCTAGGCCATAAATGCAATGGAGATGAACATGGAGGCACTGAAGGTAATCCAAAATGGTTTTACACTGACTTCCCTTCGCATTGAGAGAAAGAGAAGGTCTATAAGTTTGCTACTCCATCTACAATGAAGCCAACTAAATGGAGCTGTAAGGCCAACTTGAACATTTTTGCTACTTTGTTCATGTTTAAGTAAACAATCATGTACAACTTCAGGGGTGTGTGTGTGTGGGGCTTAGTAAAATTCAGGTGGGGGTTTAATCACACT